TGGCCTGCTGTGTTCATCCAGCTCTGCACCTTGTTGTCTCTTATATAAGGTTAAAGGTGTCTTTCATTTTTTTTTAAACTTGGTTTTCTTGACTCACAGAGTCATGGAAGATATTTGGATTGATTTAAAATGTGCCAAATGACAGTCAGATATGTGGAAAAGATACTACTCTACACAAAATGTAACATGTGCCTTAAGTTATGAAAATAAAATGAGTCACACAAAGAAGGAAAAATGATTACAGCAAAGTGGCTCCTTTGCAATTTCAAATTTTTGACCTGCACTTGAAATCAATTGCCCTAATTGTGATTAACAATATTAATATATTTTATTCCACTTAAAAATATATGCAGCAGTTTGCACTCAGCTGTAATTCCCTGCCAAGTCTCGTGAGCTTGGGATGCTTTATTTGGTGGAAAATATTGCAACTTTACACAACAAAATACTGTAACCTTCCAAGGTTTAAAAATGCTTTCAAAATCGACATCTTTGCCTTTCCTCTCATTGCACCAGAACTGAGCTGCAAGATTTGTGGTTCTGCTCTTTTCACAAGACTGGCAAGCTAATGATCGGAAAATACAACAGATTGATCTAAAGAAACATTTTTATGGGGAACCAAATTCTCAAAAGCTGATTGTCTAGCTGGGGAGACCACCACATAAAGCTGGGAAGAAATTCAAGCTTCTACTGAATCAGATAATGTAGCAAAGTTGCAAACAAAGGAACATAGAATAGAACAAAGAGCCGGAGTAGGCCATTCAGCCCTTCGAGTCAGCTACACCACTGATTATGATCAGAGCTGATAATCCGACTGAGTACCCTGTTCTCACTTTCTTTACATATCCTTTGATCCACTTAGCTTTAAAAACTACATCTAATTCCTTCTTGAAAACATTCAATGTTTTGTCCTCCATTCCTTTCTGTGGCAGAGAATTCCACAGGCCCACCACTCTCATTAGACTGTGACCCCTGGTTGTGGAACTATATGAATACATATCTATTACAATTTTACAATTACAAAGGAGAAATCTGAACACTAAATGAACTAATTTGAACACATCAATGGTGCATTCTGATTAATCGGGGGTGGGGAGGTCTCCTTGTATTTAAAAAAATCTACTTTATGCTCCTGACAAACCTGTCGTACATTTAACATAGAGTAAAATGATTTAGAGCCAATTGCAAGTGGCAAAAGTCAAGAATTAACAAAGCCAAATTTCTACAGTTTTAAGATCCTTGAAAATCTGGCACTGCAAAGTTCGGTGCGAAGGCTTGCTGTTCAAATAAATACTTTTCTATTCTATAACACACTGAGTAATGCATTGTACCCAAGACCAATTTTGCAGGTATATCTGCTCAATGCCTCAGCTCAGGCTGGACAGCAACAAGTGAATGTCTAAAGAAAACCTAATGTTCCACACTGAATTTGTCTGAAATAAATAGGAAACACTTCAAGCTAAAATAATGCTCCTAAATCATAATAGAATCAATTGGAAGGAGCTAAGTTGCATGTCCTGACAAATGCAATAAGTATGGATCAATCAATTTCAGTGCTCATGAATACCGAAAAGTCCAAAAATACTGGTGCTATTTTACAGTGAAATATTGCTAACCATAAAAGAAAGTGTTCCGTGAGTGTGACTGCATCAAAAGCAGGCTGACAAGACCGAGTGTTACAGATTGGCAGTTCAGCTCTAAGGCTTCAGAGAATGTAATTTCCAGTTCAGTTACAATAGAGAGGCCAAGCTGTCATATCCCTGACAGGAGATCCCACAATTCCAATCCAAAAAAAAAACAAGAATGCTCTAATGATTGCTTCTTTTGGATTAGCAGCCTGCCTGATACATTTATTTTAAGACAATCTTTAACAGTTGAACTGCAATTATATATTGTTTTGCAAAGCTCACAGCAAAGATTTATCCTTAACAGCGGAAATACTGTAATACAGGGTATTACTTTATGGCAGGAGTATGGTTTTGTACACAGACCACAACTCATTCTGGAATCTGTAATAGTGAGCATAATTTCAGCGCATCTACGTCACCAGATGAAAAATGACAGGTTGAAGTACGACTTGACAAAAAGGCATAAATATCTCACCAAATCTCAGAATGTTGTTGTGATATATTTGATTACATGTCTGAGAGCCTGATCAATCTTTGTGAGGTATGCAGTTGTGGCTGTACATCAGTACCAACATCACTTAAAATGTGACTGTCACTTAAGTCCTTTAACCTGTTTCTGAATTGTATTTATTATTCGTTTTACAATTTGCACGACACCACACAGCAACTTCACAGATTGCTCCCAGCTCTGAATTTGCAGCTATCAACTGGAATCTTTATGTGATGCTATTAACAAACACTGCATAGCACCTACCAACCTGCTCATCACTTTGTTCTTCCAATCAGTGTAATAACATTTTTTCCTGGAAGAATAGGAAAAAAATTCTAAGGACTGGAGGATTTGGAAAGACAAAATAACATTCCTCACTGTCTTTCTCAAGTGGCAGGAAAAAGATGGCAATAATTATGAGAACCTTATGATTACATCATCCACATATACATGCTCAATTATAGATACATGCATTTTAAGTAAAAAATATTGTTCATTACTATTTAACAGTGCAGGAGATCATTGTGAAACATGCTCAAAATTTAGCTATCAACTTGTTAGTATGTGTTTTCCTGAGTTAATTCTGACAAGCTGCCAAGGGTATGGATGGAAATTGTACATTTCACAGTTGGCAACAACTGTACAACTATTATAGAATGTATTATTTACTGGAGCAGGTGAACAATTCTCATGTTAACTGTGATTTTAAAACCTTGTGTCAGGCAAATGATATATGATGAGAGTCGCTATAGTTTGCACTCTTATGAGAGAGAGAGATGACAGGTTTGTGAGTTTAACTTGAGGGTCAACAGGAAAGAGGCACGTTTGAGCATTCATGGTGACATTAACCAGTGCAGTAATTGATGTCACTCTGCAAGATAAGCTGGCTCTCCAGCCAGCAGGTCTAACTGGAACATTGAACTTTAAGCATCGTCCCTCCCTCGATACTTTCCGATCTTCCTATTCCAATATGTTCCAAACCACAAGTTAACAATAAACGATTTAACAGAGACTGAAAAAAACAGTAAGACAATTACAATACCTAAAAGGCATGTGGATGTTCATTCTTTCTGCGTATTTACAAATCGTTTCCCAAGGAGCGTGGAGTTTCACAAACATTATGTCGCTATTTGTGAGTGATTGCTGAGGTTGCAGATAGAAAAATTAATAAATAAGAATTAAATTGCTATCAAAAAAATTCTAAATAAAAATCTATGTCACTTTCAGGCAAACTTTTGACCAAATATGAATGAAGGATTAGTGTCATTTTCACAAATATCATGTGTGGTAAAATGACTATTTTATCTATAGCCAATCAAAATATTGCAATATTACTTCACAGTAAAAGTCCCATTAAATTTTTGTTTCATTACTAAATTTCTGAAATGTCCATAGGCAAAATAACTAACATATTGCAAGCAATCACATGAATTTATATTGCTTCTGAATGCATCATACCATGAGTAGAAATTGCAAAGATCAGAGATTGAATTTTTTTTTATATTTTACAAAATAAGGAAAAAAAGTTAATTCTGCTACCATTTAAACTTTTCTGTAACCATTTCAAATCTATGCCCGCGTTAAGTCTGTAATTATGGATAGCAATAAATGGCTTCCATTAACCATAATAAACTTTTGAGTGAGTGAATTTATTCTCTTGTAATTCAGTAGTCAAAAGGGCTACAAAGGACAGGGCTACCCAGAGTGATCAGGAGCCCAAACGGATAGGCAAGCCAAAATTTTTGGGCTGGCAATCCACTTCTTACCGAGTGGTTGAGACAATTTTCAACCCTCAAAGTGGAGTCATGGGAGAAAAATGTTTGGGAAACACTAAAGTTGGGGGCTTCCTCAGCAGCAGTAAGAGAGTGGGAATGTCACTGAGACGAGTAATCCAAACGTGAATTTTCATCTTCTGGGACCCAGGTTCAAATTCCACTATGGCCTCTGTTGGAGTTTAAATTTAATTAGTTATTACAATAAACAATTTTTAGAAAAAGGATACTGATCACAAGTCTACTGTTAATTATCACAAAACACACCTGATTCATGAAGCCCTTTAAGGAAGGGACTCTATCTTACAGTCGACTACAGTCCCACTGTAGTGTGGGTGACTCTTAAGAGCTCTTTGAAATAGCATAGTAAGCCTCTTGGTTCAAGGACACTGGGGGAAGTTAGACTAATCCATATGTCTGGCGAACTGGTTTTATCAATATTCTTACCAAATTGGTATCAGTTCTGGTACTGAGGCAAAATACCTCTTATTCTGTAACACCGAAACTGAAATCAGACAAGGCCTTTGAAGAATATAAAGGAAGCAGAAAATAACTTAAACAAGGAATTAGGAGGGCTAGAAGGGGCCATTAAATATCCTTGGCAAGTAGGAGGAAGGAGAATCGCAAGGCATTTTATACATATATTAGGAGCAAGAGGAAAGCTAGCAAAAGGATAGGTCCACTCAAGGATAATGGAAAGGAAGTTTTGTGTGGAATACGGAGAAAATGGGTGAGGTCTTTAATGATTACTCCACATTGGTATTCACCAAGGAGAAGGACATGGATGCTGGTAAGATTAGGGAGGAATATGTTGATATTCTAGGACATGTCAATATTCAGAAGGAGTTGTTGGATGTCTTGAAAAACATTAAGGTAGCTAAGTCCCCAGGACCTGATGGAATCTATCCCTGAATACTAAATGACATAAGGGAGAATTTGCTGGGGCCTTGACAGAGACCTTTATATGGTGAGGTCCTAGAAGACTGAAGAATAACCAATTGCTTCAGAAGGATAATCCAGGAATATATCAGCCAGTGAGCCTTACATCAGTGGCAGGGAAAATATTGAAGAAGATTCTGAGGCACAGGATTTACTTGCATTTGGAAAAGAATGAACTTATTAGGGATAGTCAGCATTGGTTTATGTGGGGAAGGGGGACGGATTTGTCTCACAAATTTGATTGAGTTTTTTGAGGAAATAATGAAGACGATTGATGAGGATAGGGCAGTGGATTTAGTCTGCATGAGCTTTAATAAAGCATTTGAGAATGTCCCTCATGGTAAATTGGTCCAGAAGATAAAGTCACATGGGATCCATGGTGAGTTGGTAAGTTGGATACAAAACTGACTTAGTTATAGAAGACAGAGGGTAATTGCGGAGGGGTGTTTTTTCTGAGTGGAGGTCTGTGGCCAGTGTGTTCCACAGGGATCAGTGCTGGGACCTCTGTTGGTTGTAATATATATATAAATAATCTGGATGAAAATCTAGGTGATCTGATTAATAATTTCGCACATGATATGAAAATTGGTGAAGTTATGGATAGTAAGGAAAGTTGTCAAAGGATACAGCAGGATATAGATCAGTTGGGCAGAGAAATGAAACATGGTGTTTGGACAAGCGTGAGGTGATGCGTTTTGGGAGATTAAATGCAAAAGGATGTATACAGCAAATGGCAGACCCCTTAGGAACATTGATATACAGAGGGATCTTGGGTGCAATTCCATATCTCATGATTATTGTATAAACTTCATTGCAATTCTCTATTTTTACTTGATGTATTTCTGCCCCACAGTATAGTTGGTGCCAGGGGGCCTTCAAACCACTCCTACTAATGATGATATTCCTCTGTTATTCCCTACCTCCACCCAAACGGACTCTACATTTTGATTCTCTGAACAAAGATCATTTCTCACTCATTCTTTATTAACAGAACCATCCCACCTCCTTTCGCTTTCACCCAGTCTTTCAAAAATGTTATATGTCCCAGCTGTGGTCACTTCCAACCATGTTTCTGCAATGACTATCAAATCATACCCATTTATTTATACGTGTGTTATTGAACATCCATGTTATAAATGGTGCACGCACTCAGGTAACAAGCCTTTAACTCTGTATCTTTTATCTTCCTTTTTTCCTATGGTTACCTTACTTGCCAGTGCACTTTTTTGTTTATATGTTCTGAAAAAATGTGTCTGGGTAACTCGCACGTGTGAACTTGGTTTCAAAGTTCCTCAAACTGCAGACAGGTGATGGACATGTATATGGCATGGATAATAAGGGGAGGTGATGGCCTAGTGGTACTATTGCTGGACTGTGAATCCAGAGACCCAGAGAACATTCGGGGGACCCAGGTTCAAATCCCACCACAGCAGATGGTAGAATTTGAATTCAATAAATATCTGGAATTAAGAGGCTAATGATGACTATGAATCCATTGCTGATGTTGGGGAAAAACCCATCTGGTTCACTAATGTCCTTTAGGGAAGGAAACTTACCTGGTCTGGCCTACATGTGACTCCAGACCCACAGTAATGTGGCTGACTCTGAACTGCCCTCTGGGCAATTAGGGATGGACAATAAATGCTGCCTAGCCAGCGACATCCTCATCCCATTAACGAATAAAGGGGGAAAAAAAATACTGATGTCCACATCTTACAATTGCAACAAAGTGCCTGCCTTGTCATCTTTACTAGGTTAGGTTTCAAGTGTACAAGCATCACTGAACTGTTGTCTGTAGTTGCACCAAATAGTCTATTTAATTAAATTCTAACTTTAATAACATACTTATATCATTTCCAGTTTTAGCTTAAACAACTGTGTGCGAGTTTAGAGGGGCCAAATGTTTTAAAACAAACTCACTAAACGATCACCTTATTAAAGCCTTGAACAGTTAGCAGCTTGTGGAAGCTGAAGAAAATGATATCGAGAAAAAATCGCATCTTTCCACTCTGCATCAAATTCACAAGCTATCTTTTACACCTCATCCCATTCTGCCCGATCACATTGTATTCCCTCAATAGTTGTTTACTTAATAGAGATTATTTAAGGCTAAATCTAAACCAATATCCCTAATCCAGTCACAATATTTTGCAGCAGTGCATTAAATAACAGTGACACAGTGGCTCTGTAGTTTAAAAAAAACATTTTTTGTAAGACGTTTCATAACTTTAATGAGGAACCAACTGAAATTTTTTAAAGTAAGACTTTGTAAGAATTGTAATAGAAAGCTATGAACTTACTCAAATGTTTGATTGACTTAAACATCCTAGGTATATATCTAAATATTCCTGAGGGCATTTTTCACCATTGGAATCAATCAATAAATGGGATGACTGATTTTTCCCAGTTTTACTAAGCTGAGTATAATGCTAAGGCTTTTTGAGAATTGGATTCTATTAATTAAGAACCATAGTCTGAAAAGACAAAAATAATGGAAATAATTATCACAAAGTGACCTGCTGTGCTAAGAAATAATTATAGATATTACAAGAACCTCCTTGTGAAACAGAGCTCAGCACTAATCGCATCCCTTACTTGTTTCATAATTACTTACTGCTAAATGGATTTAAATCCACAGTTCACAGAGAAAAAAAATCCATAGTTATCATGTGAAAATAATCTGTAAAACATATTTCCTCCATGTTTATTATTATAAATAAACCTGCATGATGCTCAGATCACTTCTTACATAAAAAATAGACACAAGGTCAACCATAGTGTCATTGCAGTAACAAAAAGGCAACTAAATGCATTTTTTTGCCTGAAAATGATACCCAAATTTCATTGACAGTTTTGTTATAGCTAAAGTCTCCTCATTGTACAGACACTGATCTGGATCAGGACGAACTGCAGAATGCAATACTCATTCAATGAAATGAAGGAATTAATAAATACGTGTAGATCCCTTACTAAATTGGCTGGTCTTTTCAAATCTTTTCAACATTACTAGAAGATAAATGGAGCTACAAGCAAACATCTTCAATGAACGAGCTTCTAAAATTAGATAATGTCATCGAATTTTCTCTGAAATGGCACAAGTACTTGCTGAGAATATTTTAATGATTTTTATCCATTCAGTCATAGGATGTGGGCATCACAGGCGAGTCCTAAACCTATTGTCCATTCTTAATTTCCCCTAAGGTCAACCATATTGTTGTGCGTCTGGAGTCACATATATACCAGACCAGATAGAAACAGCAGGTTTCCTTTCCTAAAGGACGTCAGTGAACTCAGTGAGTAAACATATGTTTAATGTTTACCAGTCTCCAGTTTCTTCCAATTCAACTGGCTTATAGTTTATTGATCAAGGGATATGTTTTATTTAGATCCGTTCTCATGGTCCTGGACCTCAATCCTACAATGAATAAATGCTAACTGATACAAAACCATGAATTTATTGCATAATTATGTTTCCTCAAACTACTTCTTCTCTTCCCAACTAAGTGGATTTTGATTCCTGCTTTACCCAAACATCCAAGTACAATGTAGGAATGCAGATGGATATTACTGCCAGGCTGTCTTCCCCACAGGGTCTAATCACCAAGCCTTTCCTTATCCATGGCTCATACTTACTGCTAAGAGTGGTACATGTCAGTCCGAGAACATGCGATGCAGAGCACGAGAGAGAGAGAGAGAGGCAGAAACCATGAGACAGATGGAGAATGGGTGAGTGAGAAAGATAGCATGAAACAGAGAAAGTGTGCAAGAGAGAAAGACTGAGAGAGACCACGAGAGAGAGAGTAACCACGAGAGAGAGAGAAACTGCAAGTGAGAGAGAGCCAGACAGAGCCTGAGAGAGCAAGAAAGACAAAGAGAGCATGAGAGAAATTGAGAGAGAGCGCATGCGAGAGAGAGACCACAAGAAAAAGAAAACACATGAGCGATGCAAGAGAGTGACAGCACGCATGAGAGTGTAGGAGAGAGTGTGTGAGAGACAGCAAGAAAAAGCACGAGAGAGATAGCTCATGAGACAGAGTGCAAAAAAGAGAGCACAAGAGGGAGAGCATGTGTGAAATCATGTGAGAGAGCACAAGAGTGAGCATGAGACAGAGCGCAGCACAGAGAGCACGAGTGAGTGTGAGAGAGCATGTGGGAGAGCAAGCGAGATAGAGTGAAAAGAGATATAAATAGAGGGGAGTGCAAACACAGCAGAAACTTCCACAGAGACTTTTGAACTTAGTGACATTAGAGTCTGTTATAAATAATCTAATGTGAAAGCAAATTGAGTAGATATTAAGAATCTGAAATAAAAGCCAAACAATAGATAGATAACTCAGATCAACAGATAAGGGAGGAACTGACCTTTCGGCTTGCAGCCCTTTTGTATCAGCACAAGGATCAGGTTCTAAGTAAGTAGAGAGGCAGAGAAAGCAGAAAGAGAGAAAAAGGAAAGGGAAGCTCCATAATGGAATGGAAGGAAAGAGAGATTGAGGCAAAAGGGACGCTGAGGTGGGAGAGGCCCTGGATACTCTTTCCAAATGAAACAGAAATTGACTTGTATTCTTTTTATATTGCTAGACCTTCTTCTCCATTCAAACTAACTTTGTTTTGTTCACACCTCTCTTTCCAGTTGCAGTCCTTCTGCACGCAGGTTTTTTTCGAAGGTGTTCCTCTTCTCCACCTGTATACTCGATATTTTATAGACCAAAATGTAGTCAATCCGTTTCTTCCCATCTTTGAAGAAAAGACCGAATGACATCTCTGAGCATTTGTCATCCTAGGCAAAAGATACAAGGGGCAGTGTCAAATAAAATGACAGGAACCATCAGAATTAGCATTCTTAAAAAGACGTTTCAGGCATTCTTATTCCCTCTTGCTATCCCTAATAGTTTCTACTCTTCACTGGTTTCAATTGACATTCTTTATCATTAGTAGAGAAAACAACAAACTTGATGTAGTAAAAACTTATTCACACGAGTGGTCCAGATTTGGAATGCATCCCTCAGAGGTGTGGTGATTGCAGAATCAATTGAGGCATTTAAGAGGGCATTGGATGGTTACTGGAATAGAAACAATGTATAAGGGGACAGGGAAAAGGTAGGAGATTAGCATAACATTATAATGCTCTTTGGAGAGCCAATGCAGACACAACGGCCTGCTCCTGTGCTGTAAGGATCCAGTTAATGTTAAAATTTGACAAGATGAAAAATTGGACAAAAAAAAATTGACAGCTTCAAGAAGCTTGTTAAATTTGACTTAACTGTGTACTTTTGCAGATATACAGTCTGATTTAAAAAAAATGATAATTTGGGAACAATTATGGTGTTGGTTCTCTCTCTCTACACGTGCTGTTTTTATAGAAAAAAATAACTTTTCAATTACTTTTGACCGCTGCTTTAGAAAACCTGGCATTCATTTGACCAAGAAGCTCCAACGAAAATTGTAGATTTCATTTAGTCAGAGAAGGGGTTAATTTTGGCCACAGCCTTTATTTCAACTAAAGGGGAGATGAGGAGAAATTCTTTTAGAAGGGGGTTGCAATGATGTGCAATGTCAAAAAGGATGGTGAAAGCAGATGCAATAGTAGCTTTCCAAAGGGAACAAAAACTTGGAAAGGGTGCCCATAGGTCTACAGGGAGACAGCATCGAATCCAAAACCTTCATTTGACACTGTCAAACAACTAAATGCTTTTACAATTCTATAACCTGTTTCCTATGGTGGTGGAGGAAGTGATTGCTTGTGGATGTGGTGCCAATCAAGCAGACTGCTTTGTTCTGGATGTTAGAAGCTTCTTGGATGTTGCACCCATTGAGGCAAGTGGGGGGTTACCCCATGACACTCCTGACTTGTGCCTTATTGACAGTGGACAGACTTTGGAGAGTCAGGAGGTAAGTTACTTGCTGCAGTATTCCTAGCCTCTGACCTGCTCTTGTAGCCACTGTACTTATATGGCTATTCCAGTTTCTGGTCAAAAGTAACTTCCAGGATGTTGATAGTGGGAAAGTCAGTGATAGTAACATCATTGAATGTCAGGAGTTAGACTGTCTCTTATTAAAGATGGTCATTGCCTGAAATTTGTGTGGCAGTGAATGTTAATTGCCACTTTTCAGCCCAAGCCTGGATATTGTCCAAATTTTGTTGCATTTGAACACGGACTGCTTCAGTATTTGAGGAGTTGCGGATGGTGTTAATATTGTGCAATCATCGGCAAACATCCCCACTTCTGACCTTACGATGGAAGGAAGCAGCTGAAGATAGTTCGTTAACTATCCTGAGGAACTCCTGCAGAGATCTCCTGGGGCTGAAATGACTGACCTCCAATAAACACGACCATCTTTCTATGTGCCAGATATGACTCCGACCATTAGAAAGTTTGCCCCCTGTCTCCCATTGACTCCAGCTTTGCCAGGGCTCCTTGATGCCATGCTACGTTGAAGGCAGCCTTGAGGTCAAGGGCTGTCACTCTCACCTGTTTATTATTCCTGATTATTGGTGAATTCAAATTTTACCATCTGCCACAGTGGGATTCAAATCGATCTTCCCAGAACATGAGTCTGGGATTCCAGGTTACTAATCAAGTGACATGACCAGTGGATCCTCCTTCTTTTGTTTAGTAACATCTAAGAGGAAAGTGAATGTTTCAAGTTAACGGTCTCTTGCGAGATCAATGACATTATGCCCAGTTCTCGAGCAATGGCCCATTGACTAACAATGCCTGGTCTTTCAAATGATATCTATCACTTTGGCATTGTCGATACTTCATAATCTTATTTTCATTGTGAGGACAGGCATCATTCATTACAGTGAATCAGTCAATTAGTAAGATGTTTTTGCAGGGAGAAAAAACATTGAGATGGCTCCAGAAGAAGACGGCAGTAGTAAAGTTGTGAGGCAGAAATGTTTCTGTTGAAATCAAGGTGATAAAAATCAGATGTCTTCTATAACTGACAAGCGATCTGTTCTTTCAGGTCATTACGCAGGCAGTAAAACAGAAACAAAATTACCCCAGTTTTCCTCTCTAAGTTTGTTATGCCATCAGCATAATAAATGTAAGCAAAGCTAGAATGGGGTGGCAAGGTGGCTCTGTGGTTAGCACCGCTGCCTCACAGCACCAGAGACCTGGATTCAATTCCATGCTCCGGCAACATTCTGTGTCGAGTCTGTGCATTCTGCATGTGTCTGGGTGCATTTCCTCCTATAGTCCAAAGATGCGCAGGCTAGGTGGATTAGCCATGAGAAATGTAGGGTGGGTCTGGGTGGGATGCTCTTTGGAGGGGTGGGGTATGAACTCAATGGGCTGAATGGCTGCTTCCACACTTTAGGGATTCTGTGAAATGAGCAGAGCTGTGATCGTTAGAGGTCTCCCCACAACACACGCCATTAAACATGTGACAGAAAAATAATACCTCTTGCTCTTCATCCTGAGTTTCCGATGACTGACGATTTAATGTGTTTTGAATGAGGAAGTCATGATCACTCCGAGAATCATACGTTCTTTGCTCAGACTCTATGGTGCTCCACTCCTTCACTTCATCTGCAAAAGAACAGGTAAAGCTTACCAATTGGCTATTTGTCAAGAGAGTTCTCAACTCAACTTCTGAACTGCAAAAACTGGCTGTAACTCTCTGGAGCTTGCTACACACTGTTGCAAAATTCAGAAATGTTTACTATGTTACTCATTAAGGATTCATACTGCAGCTGCTATCATTGTAACTGTTTTATTAAGCACAGAGTGAAGTGGCAATTTTTTATCATATAAAACATTCTATTAAATGTATTAAAAGATTTCACTATCATAAAATGTTTATCATTTTAAACTCGCATTCAGCTAAGCATCTGAGCAGAACAAATGAACAGAATTCTTTAATTTTGTCAATTTAGTGTAAATGCAAGTTCTCATATTTAACTGCTACTGAACACTGTCCACAGGGACACAGCCTCTACCTTGGACACAGTTAAGTCATTAAATAAGTTCACTCATGAGCACTAGAGAAGTAGCTTGTGTTCTTTATTAGTAGCTCCATGTGGGATACTTTCCTGGTCTGAATGGTTTCCACGAGCTCCAGTAAAATACTAAAAATACATTCTGAGAAAGCACTCAGACCTGGTGGCTGAGTGTGATCCTCAAAATGCGCTGTGGCTAGGTTGTCAGGAAAAAGGTAAAGTTACCACAGTCCCAAAGGACCAAAGGCCTACCCTGTCATTAGAGACGGGCAACTGGTGGTGGTTTAACCTCAGGGTCACCTCGCCTCAGACGAGGGAACAGGTTGAGGAGAGTCCTTCTTGATAGCCTTAGCTGGTGCGGGAAATGATAACAACTGATGTTATGTCAAAATATAACCTGACGCTGCAGGACAGTTTATGATTCAGTTAATACATGCCTTCAGTGTCTGAAAACCATGTCATACTCCAGAACCTGACCGTCAAGATCAAGCCTGATCCCTGACTGCAGGACTCAGAGAATCAGCCTTGTTAGAATTGCCATCTTTGCAATGAAATAAGTAACCAAAGCCCTAGATGTCCTCATGGGTTAATGTAAAAGCCCTCCCTCAAAGAAGAACTGGGAAGTTATTCACAGTATTTACCCCTTGGTCAGGCAACATCATAAAGAAAAGAGATTAATTAGTCACTGTCACATTGACTAGATTAACTAGTTACTGTCATGTTGACTAGATTAACTAGTTACTGTCATGTTACTATTTCTATTCCTTACATTACAATCCTTAAACTTCAGAAGTATAATTGACTGTAAAGCACTTTGGAGCATCCAATGGTCATGAAGGACAAGTAGAAATTCAAGTTTACTTAAAATATTCAATTCACTTCATTTATCTTTGGTCCAGGAAGATCCCACATGAAGCGCTGAAGCTACTATAAACAACTGATCCTTTCTCGAGATAGTAGG